AAATTTAAAAATTCAAATGAAAAAGTCGCGTTTCCGTTATCGGGCACTTTCATAACTTACACAAAATTATCCAGAAATATGTGGAGTTCTACAAACAAATTTCATTATTCTACAATGATGTTTATTGAAGAAATTAATAAGGATCATTATTTATCAATGTATTGGGATCTTGAAACTGTAAAGAAAACTCAGTTGTGTACCATGGATCACAAGATGCGAAAAGTTCCAAAAGGTTTCAGAACTGATACTGTATTTATGGGGGTTTACGCATTATTTTGGGGTTCTGAAGTTAAACCGTTTCATATAATAGCGATTGTGTTAGTGAATGATGAATTTCCAATGAAATATGAAAATCCAAATGAGGATTTGATTGATTTGATCGAGGTGAAAACAGAAGCAGATTTCTTAAAAACCATGTTTCAGGTGTATAAAAATTTTAGTCCTGACAGGGAGAGTGGTTGGAATACTTTAGGATACGATTGGAAGTTTATAATTCGAAAAATGTACGAATGTGTATTATTTGAAACATTTTATCAAACGTTATATGAAAAAAAACCAAAAAGTGTCGAGTCAGTTATCAAATATCATCGGGTAGTAAAAAAAGCAAAGATAAGTGCGAATGAATTTGCAAATCATTATTTTATGAAAGTTGGTGGCACAATCGCATATGATATGCAAACACAAGCACGACAACATTATGGAAATTTAACAACATGGAGTTTAAACGATATTTTAAATAAAATTGGATTGGATTCAAAAGAAGATCTTTCTATTGAACACATGTATGATATAATAATTAAATGTCGTAACAACGAATATGATGATATTACCAAAAAAAATCAATGTAATTTGATTTTAACTTATTGTATAAGAGATTGTCAGGCTCCAAAAGAAATTTATGAAAAGTTATTCAAAAATGTTCAATACTCATTAATGTCCAAGATATCGTGTATCACAGTTCAAGAATACGCATTAGGCAATATGACAAATATGATTAATAATTTAATCGTTGATTATTCTTACAGACGAAATATTAATCTTTCGTTTAGTTATATGAAAAATAACAAATTTAAACAGAAATATTCAGGAGGATATGTGAGAGAACCGAGATATAAGGGATTCTCAATAACTCCTAAAGGAGTATTGGACTTTAATTCATTATATCCAAGTGTGATGAGAGAAAAGAATATTTGTCTTTTGATATTTTCAGATACA